GGAAGTAATAAAAGGCCGGATAGTGTTCTTGGTCTAGTGTAAACATGAAACTTTTGCAAGAATGACACCCGGCTTTGATGATGTCCATCATATGATGGACGAAAGCTCAGCACGTTTTCACCCGAAGCGAGGGAGGAAGTCTCGTGGACTGTGTCAACATGAATATCCTATTAAATTTAAACGCCTGCAGTATAACGAGATTTAACCGTCCTCATCTGGTGAGATCTACCAACGAATCTCTTTTTCATTTACTTTCATGCGAAATGAAAGTCCCTCTTGTCTATTTGAGTTCTCTTTATACATAGACAAGCTATATGATAAAGAACTTTTGTGTAAAAAAAGAGTTTTTTATTTACTTTGGCTAATTGCCCTACCTTTTTGTTTGCGCATATTAATCTTTGTAGAGTAAGTGCTTTTCGTACGGTCTAGATCTTATTCCATACGCAGATATCCTAATAAAAGCTTTTCATTTTCTCATTGATTTTTTAGACTTCTCCGTGACGCTGGTGGCTACCGTGATTGGCCATCGGGGCGTGGCATCTTCCATAACTCCGCGAAGACCTTCCTTGTTTGGGTTTGCGAGGAGGATCATATCCGTATTATCTCGATGCAAAAGGGGGGCAATTTGCTTGCAGTTTACAAACGATTAATTCAAGTCAGTATTTTGATTATAAAGGCCTCTTCGTTTATTCCCTCTTCCTATCACCTATTAGTTTTCAAAAAACGCGAAAAAACACTAAATATAGATAACATTATTTTCTAATGACTAGCCAATCAAAGATCATTAGATAGCTCTTCATCAGGGATGCTGAACCTAGCATTGCGTCCCCTTTAGAGAAACTTTAAGCCCCAAACACATTTTTTTACCCTGTTTCCATCTTAAGGGAAATAATTAATCCCTAACCCAGTTCGTTCTGCTAGACGCAGCAATGGGGAAGATTTATTTGTTGACTAATATCACTATATCCTGAATTCCATCTCTGCGAAGATTTCTTAATAACAATTAATTTTTTGATCAATTCCAGGGTATCAAAGCAATTGAGGAGAAAATGAAATTTGCGCACAGTACAAAATACGGTTACTTGACTTGCTGTCCTTCAAACCTGGGTACCACAATGCGTGCAAGCGTACATGTTCGTGTACCTAAATTAAGTGCGAATAAGGAGAAGTTCCAGGAAGTCTGTAGCAAGTTCAACCTCCAGGCTCGAGGTAAAGTTTACGTATTAAAACGAACTTTTTGGAACTATTATAAATGCTCTTTTTTGGAAACAGGTCTCCTTTTTATACTCAATGCAGAATGAATTTGAGAATTTTAGTACGATAAATTTCAGACACTTTTGTATTTTCGGCTCGCTTACGCGAATATAGAATACTCTACACGTCTGATTTACGACCAAAGATAGCTGATTTTACTAGCTGATTTATTCCGTACGGAATAAATTCTTTCACTTATATTACCTTCACATTTTCTCACTGCATCGCCTCTACTCTATAGCATCTTACAGCAAAATAGCACTGAAAAAAACTCATTTTTGCACATGGGCTCAAAATAAAGCTTTCTTTCATTAAGATTTGTTTGAAGCTCTTTTTAACAAATAACAATGACTTTTTTATTTAAATAAACGAACTATCACACTAACAAATTGGATTAGTCTCAGATGTAGGGAGGTTACATATGTCCAACTTGCCGGTCGGAGAATTGTATAACTCATGATAGTCCCTTAATCCTTCTCAATGTAAATATAGGTAGTCAGGCTCGTATTGCTTTACATTACTAATAAACTATAGACTGAGTTTTATCTTCGATTTCAGGTTATACTCATCTTTTACTATTGGTATTTGCTTTCAGACTCGCTTTACTCTTCTACTTACACACTTGGTCTCCTGTAAATAAGGATTTTGCGTACTTTAAACCACTCCCTCATTTGTTGTGAGTATTTTAGCCTAATCTCTACTAAAAAACAAAATTTTTCAAATTTACTTGTTTTAGTAGGAATGGGTCCTCATCCATACCAAATTAGCAAGCCACACACCTAGCAGGACTAGAATCAAAATAAACCCAAAAGACCATATAATCATTCAACTTACCCGGATACCTTCGATTTCAAGTCGAATAGATAGATCTATTTTGAAATACATATCCGAGCAGAAACTAGTATTCATATTTACTCAATCAGCAAAGTATCTCACTTTTCGTTTATCATATGATTTTATTACTCTACAAGCCATTTTGGGTTTTAAACATTTATATACTTACATTAGTTAACCATCTAATCGTTCAAAATCTCCACTGATTATTATGCTTTACACTTTACTTAGTAGATTTAAATTCAACGATTACTTCTAAAATGATACCCTCGCCACTAAAACTGAATACATAAATACAAATTCTTTATTATATAATGCAACTAGGATCAGTTTCTTATTTTGGATATGCGAAGAAAAGTTGGGTTTTGAACAATCTCTTGTTTCGTTGTTATTGAGTGAAATTCGATTCCACCAGAAGACGACGGCGGATTCCTCCTGATCAGCTATCGATTGGTTTTAGTGGAACATTCTTGTTGACGCTGCTTCAGATGTAATCTCCCTCGATTCCGAGGCTGACATATGACTTGGGCTAACCAAATCACTCTATGTTTAATAAAAAAGTTCATATATATAGTATATACACAACATTTTAGGGATGAGCCGATGAGCTTTCTTGACTTATTAGCTTGAATATAGTTATAAGGATGATGCCCTGCTCTGATGATGTTCGTCAAACGCTGGTTGAAAGCCTAGAATGTTTTCACCGGAATCGAAGAAGATTACTTCGGAAACAGTGTCAACAAGGGTGTTCCAGTGGAGCCAAATGACAACTGGCCAAGAGCAATCAGCCTTCGTCTTCTAGTGGGATCGAGATTCGAATCTCTTTACCAAATACTATCGCTCTAAATAGAATTAAGCTTTTATTTTGAACTAGGCTGTGATCTTTTACCTTGCACAGATGATCTCATTAAATTATATGCAACTATAGCTAGCCTTACTCTTGCTTTCTTAACCATTTCTTTTACAGGTTTTCATGGTGAGCACACCGAATCTCCCGATGGCATCTACGACATCAGCAACAAACGCCGCTTAGGTTTGACTGAGCTAGAGGCGGCAACCGAAATGGGCAAGGGTGTGGCCGAAATCATCAAGATAGAATCTTCAATGTGAAGTAATTTCGGCAGCTGATCTTATAACAATAGATGCAAATAAATTGTCACGCGTCCAGACCCATTCTTCTAGCTTTTTTAGTTAACTTGATATTCACTAGTTACTTAACAATCACTCTACTCTCATTCTGACAAGAAAATTTTCCTTTAAACCAAATATTAAAGCCCTGCTTTAAACCTAGCTTACTTTATGAGAATATTCAAGGCTACAGAATTTCTGTTTCTCGGTACTTATGAATTTTACACCCCAATTTAGACTCAGACCCTAAATTTGCATGTACATCCGAGAGTTTAGTTACTTTTCAAATATTTTGATAATGTCCATATTCTCCTTTTGATTATTTGGTAAATATAAGGAACTAATCGAACTTGATTTTCATTATTTCTCATGCCTCCCCTTTTTGCCAGGCACTTGGATTGAGGTAGCTAAGCTTAAATTCGCAAATGATATCCACATTCTCTCTACTTCTATCCAGCAGACGCGAGTAGTTTACAACTAATTTCCTGTTTTCACCCTTGAAATGAGTATACCTTACGATTCTATTGAATTTCACATATCCTTTATTCCCAAAAGTTATTATGATCCAGGGTGGACTGCAATTTTGACCTCGCTTAGGCCTATAGCAACTATAAG